GGGGAGAATGGGGCTAGTTGTCACACTTTTTATTCCAGTGAATTCTTCGCAGTGTGGGTTTATTTTCTATGTAAGTTAGTTCCCTTTCAGTCGGTCACTCTCGACATCATGTCGGTGATGACCGACGAATTGGGAACTCGCCAGAGAGACAATCCACTTCGAGTGTAACTAAATGAGCCAATGGACGGATTTCGCATCTGGCTGCCACACCCTGCAGCGCAGGTATAAGAGGCAGCAGGTGCACCGCATTAATTCATCCTTTCGCTTCAGAGCCGAGAGGTAGTGCATCACTACTGCTCTCTACTTCGGGTTGCAGAGAGAAGCAAGCGAGTGTGGGCGTTACGGCACAGCAGCGGTGGTCACGGTCTCATGGCAGAAAAAAAAAAATAGATCATCCTCGTGCAGACAGCCACACCAAGAGTGTGTGGTGGCCAGCTCCCCTGCGTGCTTCATCACAAAAAGAGCAATCTCTAAAAGAGCAACACGGGTGATCGCATCTTTTTAAAGATGTCTTATCACCCGTGCGTTTCTGGGTGCGGCCACAATCTGTTGCCTCGGGACGGTCACGATCGCTGTCTCACGTGTCTGGGCATTGAGCACGCCAAGCAAGCGTTCATGGATAGTGCATGAAAGACTCTGTTACGTCAAACGTGGCGGGGTCCCTCTGCTTCTGCTGCAATCCAGTGTTTGTCCCGGCAATCGGGGTGGCGCTGCATCTGGTGGAGTCAGAGGTGATATGAGGATCACAGTGACGGCTTCCCCAGAGGGAGTTCGTCACTCCTCAAGCACTCCGAAGCCAGTGGAGCGGCCGGAGGGGCGCGCTGGCCCCTCTACAGGATGGAGGGAGCCAGCCGTTTCCTTCAGTTCGCCACCTCGAGACCAGATATCGATCGCTGCATCGGAGGGTGAGTTCTCTCTCTCCAGGGATGACGACCCGGCTGCGTTGCCCACTTCGTTCTCAGCGCCCCCCTCCGGTGTCATTCTTCCCGGAGGTGCATGAGGAGCTCACAAGATCGTGGAAGGCACCTTTTACTGGCCGAAACAAGTCTTGTAGCTCCTCTGCTCTCACCACCCTCGATGGTGGGGCCACTTTGGGGTACGCGGGCATTCCCTCTGTGGAGCGGTCTGTGGCCATGCAACTGTGTCCAACAGCCGCTACCACTCTGCAGGGTGACCCGTGTCTCCCCTCACGGGCCTGTAGGTATTCGTCAGGCTTAATTGGCAGTGCTTACAGAGCTTGTGGGGAGGCGGCTTCTGCCCTCCATGCCATGGCATTACTGCAGGTCCATCAGGCCAAAGCCCTGAGAGACCTGCACGAGCACAAGTGCAGGAGGCCCTGAGACGGGCGACCCGGAGATGGAGGAGACTGTTCGTTGGGAGATGGTGACCGCACCACTCCCTACACCGGAGGAGGGCCGGGTGGAGAATATTTTGTTTCATTTTGTTTTTGTTCCACCGCTGGCCCAGAAGCCAGCAGTACCCAAAACCTAAGCAGTAAAAGAGCGGATTCCTCATTCTCTGGGTGTCAAAGAGGAAGAGAGTTGTGAACTGTGCATCACAGGGTCACTTCCCTCATCCTCTTTCGCCAGCGGGCAGCAGTGGGTTGCCCAAGAGCACCCCTCCTGCCCATTCGTGGAACCAGGTAAGGGCTGTAGCATTCGAGACCCCGCTTCATGTCGTCACACGCCGGGCTGTCACAAGCCTCAAGCCGGGACCCTGTGTTTTCTCCCGCACAGGGAGGAATCAGGTGAGTGTTACGCTTCACACCCAGACTCCGCCCTCTGCCGTCACAGGCAAGGCTGTCACAAGCCTCGGGCCCCTGTGTCCCTGTGTTCCACCACGCTGCCCCACCGTGGGTATGTCGGTGGCTCCATTGGTTCCTCTGGCACGGTCTCTCAGAGCCTGGTTAGCGCTCCCCAGTCCGTCTCAGTGGCTCCTGCGGACCACCAGACTCAGCTACACGATTCAGTTCGCCCAACGTCCCCCCAAGTTCAGGGGCATGCGGTTCATTTCAGTCAAGGCTGTCGATGCCCCTGTCTTGTGTGCGGAAATCGCAGTCCTGCTGGTGAAGGACGCGATAGAGCCGGTCCCTCCAGCCGATATGAGGTCAGGGTTTTACAGCCCTTACTTCATTGTGCCCAAGAAAAGCAGTGGGTTACGACCGATCTTGGATCTGCGAGTTTTGAACCGTGCGCTTCACAAGCTGCCGTTCAAGATGTTGACAGAGAAACGCATTTTCGAGTGCATCCGTCCCCAAGATTGGTTTGCAGCGATAGACCTGAAGGATGCGTATTTTCATGTCTCGATCCTCCCGTGGCACAGGCCATTCCTGCGGTTCACGTTCGAGGGTCGGGCATATCAGTACAAGGTCCTGCCCTTCGGGCTGTCCCTGTCGCCTCGCGTCGTCACCAAAGTCGTGGAGGCAGCCCTTGTTCCTTTGAGAGAATGGGGGGTGCGCATCCTCAACTATCTCGATGACTGACCGAGTCCCGAGGTGGGCATGGCGATGCGGTACTCACCATCAGCCCATGGTCAGATCCCTCGTTTCTTCGGGCAGGAGTGCCCCTGGAACAGGTATGGAACAAGCATGCAGTGGTATTCACGGATGCCTCGGCCACCGGCTGGGGGGCCACGTACAATGGGCACGCAGTGTCAAGGCATATCAATTGCCTCGAGTTGCTGGCAGTATGCCTTGCCCTGAGCCACCTCAGAGGGCGCCTTCGTGGCAGGGACGTTTTGGCCCGCACGGACAACACTGTGACTGTTGCGTATATCAACCGGCAAGGCGGTTTACGCTCCCGTCGCATGTTTCAACTCGCCCGCAACCTTTTCCTTTGGAGTCAGAAGCATCTGAGGTCCCTTCGTGCCATCCACATCCCAGAAGTGTTCAATCGGGCAGCCGACGAGCTTTTCTCGAGCAGCACTTCCAGGAGAGTGGAGACTCCACCCCCAGGCGGGTCAGCTAATCTGGAGATGGTTCGGAGTTGCTCAGGTAGATCTGTTTGCATCTCCAGAAACCCCCCACTGCCAGTGGTTCTACTCCCTAACAGAGGCAACGCTCGGCACGGACGCACTGGCACACAGCTGGCCCCGGGCTCTGCGCAAATATGCGTTCCCCCCAGTGAGCCTGTTATGGAAACTCCATGTGTGGTCCCTGGACGGATCGCGGAGGTTCTAGATAACCTGCCCCAGGTGGTAGCTCTCACTATCGCTTCAGCACGTGCTCCGTCCATGAGATGGGCCTATGCGCTGAAGTGGAAACTGTTCGTCGAATTGTTGCTGCTATTTCTGGGGAGGTCGTGGGGAAGCATGATCTGGTCGTCAGGTTTCTTAGGGGGGCCAGGAGGTTAAATCCTCCTAGGCCTCCCTCCCTGCCCTCTTGGGATTTGGCATTGGTGCTAAGAGCCCTACAAGAAGAGGGTGGGGGACCTGCAGGCATTTTCGGTCGACGAATCGTGCCTTGAGTTTGGGCTGGCTGATTCCAGTGCAACACTGAGACCCCGGCCCGGCTACATGCCCAAGGTTCCTACCACCCCTTTCAGGGACCAGGTAGTGAACCTGCAAGCACTGCCCCTGGAGGAGGCAGACCCAGCCCTAGCTTTGCTCTGTCCTGTACGCGCACTGTGACAGTACGTGAATAGAACTCAGAGCTTTAGGACCTCAGAACAGCTCTTTGTCTGTTACGGTGGACAGCAGAAGGGGAAGGCTGTCTCCAAGCAGAGGATGGCCCACTGGATAGTGGATGCCATCACCTTGGCCTATGAATCACAAGGTGTGCCCTGCCCACTTAGGCTGCGTGCTCACTGCACTAGGGGTGTCGCATCATCCTGGGCGCTGGCTCGTGGTGCCTTGCTAGCAGACATCTGTAGAGCTGCGGGCTGGGCAACTCCTTACACATTCGCTAGGTTCTATAGCCTGCGTGTCAAACTGGTTTCCTCCTGTGTTCTCACCTCAACGAGTAGTGGCACTGAGAGGCCCGGTTCAGAGTCGGCTTGCGGAGTCCTGGACGCCTAGTTCTCTAGAGAGTCCCCTGACTGGGCAGACCCTGTCGAGTCCTCCAGCACTCCGGCAGCCAGACGTGGCGGATCGTCCGGCGCCAGGCCTTTCAACCAATGAATTCCTGAAATCTGGTGTGAGGCTAGTGCCCATATGAGTGACCCAGTTGGGATCCCATATGTGTATTTCCACAGTACAGTTACTAGACCCGTGTTTCTAAATGCTGCCATCTCTAAATGATGCAGCCATGAGCCATCTCAGAGACTTCCATGTGCAGTAGGGCCCCTCGGGTTTACTCCACATGATAAATGTCACTTAACCCCCTCTGGGAGGAGGTGACTCCGCAGTGTGTCCTCTTCCAAATGGAAGGGCACGCTTTCCCAGTGTTATCCAAGTCCTACTGTTGGGTTGCGAGGAACAGCTGCCGGGTCACCGGCTCGGCTCCTCAGCGAAAGCATGAATTAATGGAGTGCACCTGCTGCCTCTTATTCCCGCACTGTGGGGTGTGGCAGCCAGATGCGAAATCTGCATGCCAATGTCCATTGTATGGCGTTATTTTAATGACAAATGTCGAGAGCGCATTATTGTAGCGCGAAAGCACATTAATACAATGCGAGGAGAGACACGTTTTAAGTGCGCGCACTCTCTCTGGGCGAGAGCAGCGTGTATCTGAGCGCGAGCGTCCGGTTTTGTGCGAGAGCAAGGGAAATCCGCGCGCGAGCAGAGAGATTCGCGCTCGCGCATTGTATTAATGTGCTTTCGCGCTACAATAATGCGCTCTCGACATTTGTCATTAAAATAACGCCATACATTGGCTCGTTTAGTTATACTCGAAGTGAATTGGTCTCTCTAGTGAAATCCCAATTCGTCGGTCATCACCGACTTGACATCTCCGTTCCCTCCTTCAGGGAACGAGGGTTACATACGTAACCGAGACATTTCTATGTAGGCACACAACTTTAAAGTCTTGGCTACAAAAAAAAAAAACTATTGAACATTTCCACTATTTTTGCTAGAAAAAGTTTCTGTTCATTGAAAATAACCCAATGGTGGGTCAACGTGTGTATAATAGAAACACATTTGAATGGTAATTTGAAAATCATTGTTTTGCCCAACAAATATTGTGATATACACTTCCGTTCAAAAAATTTGGGTCAGAAATATTTGTTTTATGTCTTTGAAAATCTTTTATGCTCACTAAGGCTGCATTTATTTGATCAGAAATACAGTAAAAGCAGTAATATTTATTTTATAATACTTATTTTTGTTTTAAGATATTTAAAAACTTAATTTATTCCTGTGAATTTTCAGCAGCCATTACGCCAGTCTTCATTATCACATGATCCTTCAGAAATCATTCTAATATGCCACTCAAGAAACATGTCTTATTATTATCAATATAATATAAAAAACAGTTGTGCTGCTTAATATTTTATGGAAACCATGACACATTTTCTTTGATAAATAAAAAGTTCAAAATAACAGCATTTATTTGAAATACAAATATTTGGCATTATAATTTTATTAATATCTGTCACCTTTGACAAATTAATGTGACCTCTGATCAATTTATTGTTTCCTTGCTGAATAAAAGTATTAATTTCTTTATTTAAAACAAGAAAAACCTTTCCCAAACCTTTCAATGTTAGTGTATAAATTATGTAGATTTCTAACATTTAAAACAAATGCTACCACTGTTAGAAAAAAAAAACACAAACATTTGTATATTTGGTCTTTTGCTGAAATATAGCACATCTTGCCCATGTGACAACTAAAGTAAGGTTGTAGTATTCACATTTTTAAATGACATTTTAATCCTGTCATAATCACATATCATTACCACCACAGCATTTACTACTTTTAATAATATAAAATGTTTCCAATTAAAATAACATGCAAATATGTTTTGGAAAACTTTGTTGCCAGAGGTCTAAATTACATTTTTGATTGTTGCTTTGGCAAACAGATTCTGTTAATATAAAAGGATTTCAGCTTCTTGAAAAGATGCTGGCTGCATCAAAACAATTTTCTGAGCGCTGCACATAATATAGAACTGACAATTAGAAGTATTATGTCCACCATCTGTTGCTAATTGTGTGGCTGCTAGCTTCATAAACCATGGCAATGTCTGAGAACCATCTTGAGCAAAATAAGTGAATATTCATCCCCGCCATCTGAGAAAATCACTGAGTTCATCATTGCATAGATTATGTATTTTGATGGTGGCATATAGAAATTGGCAGTGTCAAAAATGAGGCTGAGATTTTCTTAGTTACAACTAAGAAATAAAATGTTCTTTAGAGTTTAATTTTATTTTAAAAAGTAATTTCACTTTTAAAGTAGTTTTCCACTTGAATGGCTATACCAGCAGTTCAATTTGACGTAACAGTGGGTGACAAATTTATCTACGGTTTGCAATTGTTGCAATGATATCGAAAAAATGAGTGATATGAGCAATGACATATTTTCAGAAACGTATGTTTAAAAAGAAAGCAGTCAGCTATATCTTGTGTCCTCAGGTCCTCTGTGCCTTTTCTACAGGGAGCAACTTCAGTTCACCTGTCACAGTTAGTACCTGATAGTTTTAAGCCAGACCCCAGGATGTCAGTCAACAGTTCACAAGTGACAGAGACGAATACTGCACTGTCTCCCTCTGTTCTCAAAGCATACTGAAGATAGCTGTCGGTATGATTTGGGCAACCTTTTCATTTGCAAAAGACAAACCATCCATCAACAGCTGAAAGACAGGTAAATGTCATTTTAAACAATCAAATAGCTGCAAGGTTTTCTGAGGTCCTATTACTGACAGTATGATATCTTTGTATATTTTTATTATTGACATCTAGATATATACTATCTAGAATCTAAAATAGAAAATGTAAAGCATTGTACACTGATTTCTGTTTACATACTTATTAGTATGAAAGTGGGCCATGTTAACAATTACATCTAATAACATTTTTGCATTTGATTACATTCTCATGCTGCAGTATGAGCTTTTTTTGCAATGCAAATATATGGCAGATGGGAGCAGGTGCCATGGGTCGTGTATCCTCTGACTTTCTCAGAGTTGGTAGGTTGCTATGCAGGTTGCGGCTGCAAGAATGAGACAGAGAAGAGCACTAAATTGTAAAATATTATTTCTAGATCCAGAAGCCATTAATAAATGTACAACTTTTGAGTGAAATGGAATTTTAATGCAACCTCAATATATATA